ATCAACTAGATAATCGTTGACTTTATAGTAAGCCTTTTTACACAGCTTTTCTTTAATACATTTCTTAAATTTATTGAAAGGCAGTGATAAAAGAGCCTCTGGGATTTTATTAAAAAAGATATCCCTTTCCCCAAAAAAAATTACTAACTTTAGATAGTCTAGTACGGGGGAAATTGAGCCTGCGTTTGTTCCGTGTATTAACATTGTGCGTATGTTCTATTCTAGTAAACTTATCACTATTTTTGTATACATACATAATATTTTCATAAATATATTGGAGGGAAAGGTAAGTATATTAATTTCCTTGAATTTATCTCTAAGAGATTCCCTACATTTTAAATTATAGATTGCACGAATAGCCCTCTTCTGAGGATGAAAATAGTTTCGACATCAGAGCATGACCCCATAATAATAAGCCATAAGTCATTAAGCTATGAAAGTAACTAAAATAAACAAGTCTAGCTGTATCGACATCAGTTAGTGAGCGAATTTTTTTAACCGGTAGGCTGAGAACTAAGTCTCTTCTGCCAATCCGTTAATATGAGGGGACCACTGAAGTTTTGAATCCATGGTGATTCCGAGAAATACAGTTGTATCATCCAGATTCAATTCCTCACCGTTTATAATTGGTCTTGCATTGTTTGACAAAATTTAATGCATATTGTCTTTTTGCTTAAGTAGAAGGTTATTCATACTAAACCAATGGACAATGAAGACAGAGCATTGTTCACATCGTCAAAATTTGTTATTTGTCGTTTGATTTTAAAAATCAAGGACGTGTCATCAGCAAACAAAACTATCTGATGTTTTCTCTCTACCATTAAAGGGTAGATCATTTATATAAACAAAGAAAGAGGAAAGGGAAGAATTTGAGCGGTACCCCATATCACTGCCGACCCAGAGGACCTCTTACCATTCACTTCAACCTTCTGAGTTCTTCGTGTAAATAGGAAGTCAGAAGATTCAGTGCGGTATTCTTGATGCCATAGTGGGGAGTTTCCCGATTAAGGTCTCGTGTTGGACACAATAAATGCTTTGGATAAGTGCAGAAAACACCTAAAGGTATGCGACTCCTCCCAAGCCTTAACTATATATCTATATAACTCAACACCGGCATGGCTGTCGAGCGACCCTTGGTAAAACCGAACTGATTATTATGTAATAATTTGTTTACGTTAAAATGACTTACCAGTTGATTTAATATAATTTTTTAAATATTTTACTACAAGTAGGTAGTACGGAAATTGGTTAAAGTTATGGGGTGGACATATACTGCTTTAAATAATGGAATAACTTTACTATGTTTATTAGATCGGGAAACTCGCCACTTTTAATACAATTGTTGAAAATTATAGTAGATGGGGAGCAATTACATAATTATGTACTAATTATTTTTACAGAAATACCCCAAAACCGTAGTTTTAATATTATGGTTAAATATCCTACTATATACGACAATGGGTAATGTAAAATACCTTGACTCTTTACATTATCTTAAGATTAAAGAGAAAAAACAATATAAAAATAAATATATAAATGTATCACCTCGACGTCCGTCGTTCCACAACTGAGCGTTTCGTAAGGTAATTTTTACCGCACCACCACTATGTGGAACCAGCTGCCCACTAAAGCAATTCGACTTAGGGTCCTTCAAGAAAAGTGCGTACCAATTCTTAAAAGGCGCTTGCGAGGATTCTGGCAATGTGAGTGCCCATGGGCGGCGGTATCACTTAACATCAAGTGAGCCTCCTGTCTGTTTACCTCCTATTACATAAAAATAAAAAATCGCTTTTATCAGTTTACCGATGTACAAGGTATATAAACGAAAAGGAGGAAGACAATTTAGAAAGTGGGTAGACCAAATTAAGGAAACAGCGGGTGGTACGTGGCAGAGAGTGTCAATTAAATCAATATGATTTTACATAAAACTGTTAAATGGGCCGTTTGGTTGACTACCTATTAAATTTAAAAAAAAAACGTAATTTGTAAACGTAAATAAACACATTTTATATCACATCTTAAAATTATTATATAAAACTCTAGATTTTGTTTATCAAACTGTATGAGTCGTGCTCAAACAATATTAACATGGAAAGGTCACATACATATGTAATTCTCTCTTGATTAAGACCTTCAAATTGCAAGTTTAGAAACAAAAAAACAGCGATAAGTGATGACGTCTACGTTTCCCTTTCCTTTACTTTACACAGCATTACATAAGTAATATTATCGTACAATATGCCTAAGGTACGAGACGCTTTATTAGCTCGTACACGTACGACTTGTACGATACTTTTGATGATCTTAAAAGTATTGACTAGTATCCATCTTGCGTAATATAAAAATACTATTAATTTTCAACATAAGGTGATTTTTTACAAGTCAACTAGATAAACCGCAAAACACAACATGAAATTCAATGTCCCCTATGAAAAAGTAGGAACAAAGAATTCGACTTCTAGACGTCCTTCAACAAGAGCTATTATTGTCAAGGACAGATTAGATGGCGATTGACTCCGTCACCGCGCCATCTTTATTATATTTTGCTACCTATATTACTCAAAAATTTATTGTGTCATTAAGTAATTGATTGTAAAGTACGAAACATTAGATTGAAACACAGATAGTGTTAATTAATTCCTACCTTCTTATTCACACATTTAGTCAGGTCAGTTTTCTTATATGTCCACCTTATTAATCTTTAAGTTTAGGTAAATCTTTTTAATATATTATGTTATGGTAAATTAAGCAGAATTTAATGAAATCTAAATTAAACAAAAAATAGCTAGCCTAGTGTAATTAACTTAATATATTAATTTATAAACATATTAATTTATTAAGTAATAACTACTAGTCTTTAAATTTAGATTGCTGCCTTTACATGCAGTGTTGCATGTAAAAAAATACTATTTTAAAAATTAATTCTAAAAAAAGTTATAGTAAGATACAAAATTATGTATATGTATATTACTCACTAGTGTATTCAATTATGCGATGTTAGTTTTACTTCACAAAGGATTTTTTATTGTATAAGTATCTACTATAAACATAGAGAAGCCTGTGGGCAATATGTCTAACTTAAGTACAAAATATTCAGATTTTTTGTACTTAAGTTGACATATTAGTTAGGCTGATTTTGTTAAAACTGAATAGATATTAGAAGAGAATGTATAATATAAGAAAACAGTTGCATTAATGTGTAATATTTTAAAAGATTAAAACTGATAACACTATAACTTATGAAATTAATTCAACGAAATATATCCTACCAGTATGTCTATATTTAACATATTATTAAGAATAGTTTACTAATTAATTTTATTGATCTACATATAAAATAAAAATTAGGATAGCAATAGTAGATAGAAACAAAATAAATATATTCCTTTTAACTGGGTACAAAATAGTATTATCAATCTAAACACAATAATAATGGTCACTTCTAATCGGATTAATAAGAGAGACATCATTTTCAAAAAAGTTCGATAAACCATCATTGATTAAATGAATTTTGAAGGTCAAACATTAAGGTAAAAAAAAATTAAATTGAAGGTACCTACCTAGCCAGAAAAAATTGTCACATGTGAGAAAAAGACGAAAATATGCATTTAATTAAATACTAGCACAATCTTCTATATTTTATGCATGATCCAGGACGATGATAATGCAACTAGATTTGGCAATTTGATTGAACAAAGGTAATTATAATTGTAGGGCAATATAAAACTTGGCATGAATTTTTCGTAACACCTGATGGTAGTAGCAGGGTTAGTTTATATTTCGGATAACGTAATATTTGCGACATTATAATCTAAAGAAATACCATATTTTGTTATTGTATGTTTAATGTTTCTGATAGTTTATTAGTGAGTCGATTCAAGGTTGCCTAAGATGTTTAGCTGTTCCGTTGAGGCACAAGATTGTCATTACTCAATAAGGAAAAAATAAATGCGCAATAACACTCACCCGTTAAAAAACGGCCACCAGCAACAATAAACAATTAAATCCAAGAAACTTATTTTATTCTAAATAAATTAGCCACTGTGATGTTTCTACATTTAATTTTCTTATCAATTAATCTACAAAAGCATAACCATTGGACGGAATACCGAACAAGAGAAAACAGCTCAAATTGAAGATGAAATAGAACATGTTGATAAACAATAGGAGTAAAAGAGATGACATATGAAATGTCATTGTACCATAGACAAAATCAGCTGTTGACAGGAAAAGACATTTGAACATTCAGTGTATCGGAATGTACTCTATGGTTTTGACTTTTTAAACGTAATCGTTTGAATACACATTAATAATACATATTTTATCTTACTATTGCCCGGTTGTTTTTTCTGATTTGTTAAATTTAAATTTTAAATAATCGATTCGACGGCCATTCTCCCTGTGAGTTAAAAAGAATATTATAACTCTAATTTTGTAAATACATACTAACAATAAATGTAATAAGGCATATCTTTATAGTACAATATAAGCTTCTGAAAAAAAAACTATTTATTAACAACCGTTAACCGTTATTAGCAACCGTTGTTCTAAAAAATATAATTCTAATTAGTCCGTAGGAGGTACAGACTAACTTTAGAATATGGTTCTGCTTCGTAGTGTCTGTGGCAGTGTCTACACTATCTAGAATTCAGAAATGACATATACTTTAATTTAATATAGATTAAATTAAATATTTAGATTTCTTTCAAGTTTCATAGTATCGTCTCTTCAAAGCTCTACTTTTAAAATTGTAAATTTTTTGCATATTTTGCTATTGTTTAAAAACGTTAAATAACTGAAACCATCTTAATTCGTGTGTTTTCCGAGTTGTTTGCTTAATATAGGCACTGGGTGCTTTGAGAATATATTTCAGAAAACAGTATTCCCTATAATAATCACTTCATAGTATATGTCAGTGTTGAATAATAATATAAAAATATTCGTACTAAAATCATTTAGGAGTTTACTGTGTGGAAGCTATTACTGATCCAATCGTGAATATGGCCAAAGAAGAAGATGACGATAATTTACCAGATAAAGATGCGGCGAAAGAATTCTACGCTAAATACGAACCGAAGGAAATAATAGGACGGTACGTCTCGCGTAACTAGTGATCTTTGTTATTTATAGTTTCTTGAGTTTGTGACACGATTTGAGGATTGAGTGTTGTTGCCAATTTTTAACGACTTTTAAAATATATCACATCCTAGATTTGATATATTTTAAAGTAGGTACTAGATTTGGCATTCTAAGTCTTAATTTTGACCTTGAGGCTGATTACCTAAGTTACCCTACTTAGCTGATAAATTGGATACTACCAGTATTATTTTATGTTAAAAATACATTTAAACCATATGAACGGAAAACTTTTAATGGAACACATACTGTAAATACATTATAAATATTTTATTGTAGAGGTATCAGCTCAACCGTAAGGAGATGCATAGAAAAAGAGACTGGCCATGAGTTTGCTGCTAAGATCATTGATCTCAGTCAAGAGTCTCAAGATGGTGTGGACACTCACACCATGAGGGATGCCACTAGGCAAGAGATTAACATACTAAGGGTTGTTACTGGACATCCTTATATTAGTGAGTGAGTTGTAATTAGATGGTAACTAGTTTCTAACAATAAACTTGTTCTGTGCTTTTCCATATTTCCTAGAATTGAATCTAACTTTCTAAATGCATTAATTATTGGCTCTCAATTTATGGTAATAACTTTAAAGTCATCTCAGTTCTTTTTCTAATTATTGGTTTTAAAAATAATTGTAGGGTTTGGTGAAGTTGTAAGAATTCCATGCTTATTCTAAGTATGTGACGTAAAATATTTATAACTTGTATTAAACACCTTTTTAATTAAATAAATAGGTATGTAACAATTATTAATGTTATATAATATTTTTATTACACAAAATGTTTCTGCTTTAACCATAGTTAACAAACTGTAAAATCCAAGACACAATGTTTTAATATAACTCTCATTACAAATAAAAGATTAAATAATAAGTTAGAACTTTTTGTTACAAACTGTTAACTTTATTTATTTAGGAAAATACACAACTGATATGGTTCTTCTGTGGCCTTGTTTGATTGATCCAAATTGGTTTAACGTCACTGTATACAATTAGGTTATTAATAATAGTCATGTTTGTTTAGATAAATGTTTCTTACAATCTATTAACATCATCTATTTACAACATTTGTTGATTTCCTAGTTTATTCTTATGGTTTAATTTGTATTCTAGGTAACAAAATCTAGGCTTTAGCATAGCAGCTATATAATTTTTTTGTTCATCAGTAGGTAGGTTAGTTGTTCATGGGTTAATAAAGGTGGTTTTTGTGGTGTTTTGCAGTTTAAACTCATAAATTTTTATTTTCTTTCTCTGTCAGAAATATAGAAAGCAGTATGTAAAGACAACTTATTTGCAATCTAATACAGTTTACCAATTGGTAGATAATCATTTTGAAAATTAACATAAGAAAATTTATTTCAGTTGAACTGCAAGATGTATTTGAATCAGAAACTTTTATTTTCCTTGTGTTTGAGTTGTGCAAAAATGGTGAGCTGTTTGACTACCTTACTTCAGTGGTTACTCTGTCTGAGAAGAAAACAAGATATATTATGAGGTTGGTACAAATATAGAAACTAAAATGATTAAATAAGTTATTATAACAATGCTAACCTAACCTTAGCATCTAGCACTATGCGATAAATTTTACCATCTATTGATATGCCAAATATAATATATTATATTAAAAATATCATAAAAAATTATTGTTCCATTTTCTAAGTGTGTAACCACAATCAATGTGACCTGAGATTTTATTTTTCTGTATAGATCATGTTTGCTTAAGAACATAACAGCATTGTTCACCTAGTGAGGGGCTGCTAGTAACAACTGTATATGAGCTATTTGCTACATAAATAATACTAGTGTGCATAGATAGATTAGATTCATAAAGAAAATGAATTTATTTTTGTAAGTTGATGTGTAAACTTTAAATAATATTCCACTACTACTACAACTGTCATAGGTAACAGAGATTTTACCCAAGAATATAATTTTGATAACTCAGATATATTGTAAGAAAGGCACATCTCCTTGCAAGTTTTTATTTGGCAGCCTGGGAACTATTGGGAAATATATTTATGAACTCGAAGTAGTTACTTACTTGAGTTATTTGATTGACTATTAAAACAAATGTTAAAATTTATAATAATCTTATGATGCATAGTCGAGTTAGTTTGATAGCTATAACTAATAAAGAATCGTTATCTCTATAAAGTGACATTTATACACGTTTTGCACATACCCTCGACATTTTACGTCAGCATTGTAACACTATAAACAAATTTAGATAGGTGCCTTGTGTTGGTCACTCTCCAATCTCCCACGAGTCTTTACAACTTATGTACTCCTAGTACTTAAAAGCTGAAAATCTTATTGTGGCTTTTTTGCAAAGTTGTTTTTGTTGGTTGGTTGGTTGGTATTGCGTGCATTTGCGACGTTTTATTCTAGCTAAAAAATGTTTATTCACATTGAATTTTTTGTTATGTTATATGAATGAATGAGACAAATTTAATAACTATGTGTTAAATCACTGGCCACACCCTCCGTGTATAAATGTTGCCAAGTATACGCTTTAACGTAAACTCCTAACCTCCTTCGATGGCAATGTCTATAAAGAATCCTGGGAATATTTGAATTTCAGACAAGTATTGGAGGGAGTGCGATACATTCACAGCAGGAACATCGTTCACCGAGACCTGAAGCCGGAGAATATTCTGCTGGACGACCAGCTCAACGTGAAGATTACCGATTTCGGGTTCGCAAAGGTGCTTAAGAATGGGGAAAAACTGTTTGGTAAGTTCTTTAAATTTAACCACCCGAGGATTTGGGATTAAATAATATAAAATATTAAATCGTTATTATTAATTTTATCGATTACGTATTATAAACAATTTAACTGACAGTCTTGTACTCGACGGGATTCAGTGACAAGTTTTGCATTTTAATGAGTAAACAATTATCGTATTGATGATAAATTATATAAATATTTTTTAATTTATAATTTTTTTGTGTGTTTCTTTAGTAATAAATGTTATATATACCAAAAACAATATACAAATGAGACTGAGCAAATCTCCATGTTAGGTATAGAAATTGCTATATAATATTGAATAATTGCAGAGTTGTGCGGCACCCCGGGCTACCTGGCTCCGGAGACGCTGAAGGCGAACATGTTTGAGGACGCGCCCGGTTACGGCAAAGAAGTTGACACGTTAGTTTGTTTTAATTATTTTATAATTCACAAATATCCTTTATTCAAGACATTCATGCTTTCTATTAACGCTAGATCGCAAGTCTGATTTATGAAAAGCCTTGTAGAATATTCAATTATAATCACCATTTCATTTCAGATGGGCGTGCGGCGTCATTATGTTCACATTGTAAGTTTTTATCAGTTTTTGTTTATCATAATTTGAACATATCGTCGTTACTTGAAAAAAAACGTGAGTATAAATACTTCTTCGGCCTATCCATTTTCGTCGAGCACTTTATAGGGACGGTACCCTTTTCGAATTCCATTTTTCTTGTCCATTTTAATGGTAACTTCCAATCGAAACGATATAATATACGTATAGAAATCATTATTTTGGTTTAAATAAACACGACTCTTAATCATACTAGGCCATGACAGACGATGCAACTTGTCGATAAAATGGAGCAAGCGCCAACTAGCGGCCCAGACTCTTTTACCCATGTTTGGACAGATATCAGGGTGTCGGTTTTTTGTGACGGTGTAAAAATTTACTCTAATATTTTTTCCTTAACGGGCCAAAAGAAGTATAACTTCAAAAATGTTGTTCTCTTTAAATGGGGCATAGGATGGGCACATTCTCGTGCACACAGTAACATTAAGTCAGGCTAGAAAGTAGGTATTCCTAGTTATACTTTACTACTATTAATTGATTATATATATCATTAGTTATTTATATACTTTGTTACAACCTCAACAGCTTGATCGAATACAGCGCCTATAATAGTCCTCTAAATATATACCTATATAATGTGTACCATTTGGCACATATATTTCAATATAAATAATTGTACGCCCTAGGCTGGTGGGTTGTCCGCCGTTCTGGCACCGCAAGCAGATGGTCATGCTGCGAAACATCATGGAAGGCCGATACTCCTTCACCAGCCCCGAGTGGCTCGACATATCCGGTCAGTTCCTTAATAATGATTAACAAAACGCACACTCTGTAGTCTAGAATATATTGCGTGTATATTTAAGTTAATTAATGGAGGAGCGTGTGAATTCCAGAGGACCCCAAGGATCTGATAAGGCGGTTTCTGGTGGTGGAGCCCGGCGAGAGGATTGACATAACTGATGCGCTGGAGCATCAGTTCTTCCACACGAAGGTAACGTCTTTTCCATTTATTGTATCCTGGTATTCCGATATTAAATACTTTTCCCGCTATTTTTACTTTCTCAAGTTCAAAGATAAGCGTCACGTGCATTTTTAATAGTTCACTTTCCTTTTGATTGTACAAAGTATTTCGCGCTTATTTTCTGTACAATTGTTTAGCATGGCTATATTTTGTCTTTTTACGTATACGTACATACATCGATACAATGTATGGCAGTGCCCGTTTCATTTGCAGCGCTGTTTCGCTTTACGAGTTAACTAGCTATTTCTTTTTCATAAATCTTGTGTGTCGTGTGTCGGTCGGACCGTTGAGAGTCCTCAAACTAAGCCAACACACGACATCGCAAGCATGTCGCAAGTGTGTCTGTCGGTAGTTGTGGGACCAGGACGTCACGCCGCTCAAGAAGACCTTCTCCACCGCCAGCAGACGGATGTCGCGCATCGACCAGATCGCTATGGTAATGCCGCTCGCTTTGCTTCACCCGTGCCGTAGAGTAGAAATTTTACTAATTTTTTATTTTCACTTTACACACAAACTACACTAACAAATTGTCTCCATTGTTATAAAACTCTTCCGCTCTTTTCCTCTGAAATGAATGATGAAAGAACCGAACGAAAGTTATCGAGAGAGGTTAATCGAAGCGTACTCACTAGGCGATAAAGTCGAGCGGGTTCAACGCCCGCGCGCGTCTCCGGCTGGTCTTGGTGACGGTCCGCGCCGCGGTGAGACTCCGGCGCCTGCCCCACACCTCCGCGAGAGCCATCCCGCTGCACGAGGCCCTCACGGACCCCTACACGCTCAGGATACTGCGCAAGGTCAGTAGAGTTCGACCCGATACGAACTGATGTCGGCCGGTGAGACCGGAAGCCCGTGGCGATGAATATTGAAATGGCGGTAAAATATTTGCTTAATAACTAATATTTAGTCATTTACGTACAAAAATGTCAACCTTTGGGCTCCACTTTTCCCAGAGCCTTTGTTTTTTAACATTTTGCTCTCAAAATACAGGTTAAAGATCTCGATGTCAATAATTTTGACAGTAGGACAGCATTATAAGGTTTATTTTTATGTAACGGAACAAATGGGCAGAAAATTCACCTGATGTTAAATGATACCACTGCTCATGGACACTCACATTGCTAAAAGTCTCGCAAATGCGTTGCCGGCCTTTTAACAATTGGTTCACTCTTTTTACCAAATTTCGATTTGGTTCCAGAGTACTTCAGTCGGCAGCTGGTTTCACATAGAGGTGGTGTGCGGCAAAAATTGCCTTCAAATTAGCTGCATTACAAATTGTTTAAATTGCAGTTTTTTGTTTATTAACAATTTGGTGATAATAGAATTATAATAATTGTTTTGTAAACAAATAATTAATAATTAAAAAGCAATAATAGCAAATAACATGTTATTAATAATACCCGAGTGATATTTCAGTGTCTAATTATAATATATAATATCTAGGTGATCGACGGCTGTGCATTCCGCGTGTACGGGCACTGGGTCAAAAAAGGCGAGGGCCAAAACCGAGCGGCTCTCTTCGAGAACACGCCGAAGACAGAATTAAAGAGCTTGTACGTAAGCAACCTCAGCCGATAGTCGCGCCGCGCGCCAGACGAACCGCTCGGTGTCTCTGCTGCCCTGGTGCAAACGGTGAGATTAATAGTGACATAACGCTAATTAAGCGTGTTTGTTGGTTGAGTGGTTGTGTAAATTGTATGTTTCTTTGTTTTTAATAATCAATTTTAGTTTTATTGTCTTCATTTGTGGGAACAACAGTGCTTAATTTCAGTTATTTTTTTTTATTTCTGAATAAAAGAAAAATTAATAAGCACGTAAAAAAATACTTGTAACGAGTGAATTTATTCGAGTTTTGTTATGGAACATAAATAATCTCAAATTGACAAATTACCTATTTCCCCAGGACCCCCTTTTTCACCATTTCAGCTTTTCACAATCTATTCGATCGGTTTAAACATAAAAAAAATAATTAGTTAAATTTTAATTGATCGGTCCTAAGTCAATTTAAAACACCTAAACTATCGTGACTTTTGTGAGGTTAACCTTCTCGCTACTTCTTCATACCTGGTGAAATACATAAGATGTTATGAAAGACTTGCAAAAGATTCCAGAAGTACCTACCAAGCACTCCGATAGTTTTTCCCTAACAGCCAAACAACATAACTTTTATCTGGAAAGTAAATAGATCCTTTTGTTTTAGAGGAGTCGAAGTACCAGGGCGACAGGGATTAGAAGATGTCGTTCGTGCGAGTTCGAAATGTGTGCGTGTGATGTAAGTTGGTTGTAGTGTGTACTGCGTATGATTGTCTTACTACGTTTACAGAATAAATAGATGTAGAAGCTAGGAGGACAATCGGTCATTTTGGTTTTGACAGTTGACACGTTGGTCGTTGACATTCCTATTCTCAGTTAACGCGGGCCGCATTAATACTCACTGGGCTGACATTCTGGATCTATTTATTCTGACGTAGATGTTATAGACTTCATATTATAGATTCGGAAGTAGTTAGTTTATAACGTTGGCAATAAACCCATATATTTTGTGATCAAAGTTTTTAAGTAGAATGTTTAAGTGTCTCTATAAGAACTAAACAGTTAGTTCACTTACATTAATTATTATTGTGAGGTTTTACATTTGCGCTTTGTTTCATTAAATTTTCCTCATATATATACATATGTAGTATGTTTGTATTATGTTGTAATTGCGATCACTGTTTTGAGATACATATATTATTTTTGTAACTCATTCTTGACAAAATAAGCGATTTTATTAGTTTAATTCTGTATTTATGTGAATATTAACAGTCTGTTAATACATATAATGAATTTCAAATCTCGTCCTTTTATACAATTTTATATAGAGCTCTATCTTTATGTATGTATTGATATATAATTACGCCTAAACTGTAATATTACCATACTGATATTGTTTTTTTATATACATACAAGCTGCCACCCCGAACTTCGTTTCTCCTTAATGTGATTTTACTAAGCCTACCTTTTAAGTACATACCAACATGGATTATTTGGCTATGCTACCCCAGAGACTGTTCGGTTTTCCGGAATAAAAACTTTTTAGGTTTTTCTGTGATTTTTCTCTATATAAACCTCAGAGGTCAAGTTATAAGTTCTTAACTAACAAATAAAAAATAGGGGTTGATCGTAGAGGGTAGATGAAAATTAAGGATTGTATGTATTTTTGTATGCTGTATCATAAAAAAATAAAAAAAATTTTTTTTGTCTAAAATTTAATAAAAAAAATTGGGGTGGACACTCCTTATCACTTAGGGGTTTGAAAGATAGATAGTAGCCGATTCTCAGACTTACTGAATATGCATAAAAAATATCATAAGAATCGGTCGAGCCGTTTCGGAGGAGTATGGGAACGAACATAGTGACACGAGAATTTTATATATTAGATTTAAATATACCAATAGAAAGACTTGTAAAAAATTTGACTTGAAAATTTCATCATCCCTGTATTGAATTAAAATGAAGAAGTAAGGAAAGAAAGTATAATATATATGTATATTTAATAATATATATATCATTAAAGTAATAACTAAAAGACTACATTTCTTTAATAATTGAATATTTTAGTTTTGAATTAGGATAAGTGTATGTGGCTATGTTAGCCAAAATTCGTAGCTAATTTTAAGTTATCAATTACATAAGTGAACATTCATATGATAGTTTTTAGAACCTTTAGTTTAATTTAACCGTATTTAAGTAGTTCTTTGTTAATTAAAGTAATTTTCAATAACAATTACTCAATTTAGAGAGATCATTTCGTGAAAGAATGTGATGAGAAGCAATGCTATTTAGATAATATTTATTTTCTCACAGCTATACTGTTTCGTACCATTTGTAGTATTCAAAAGATTATCTATGTTTTTACTGAATAAATTATATGTGTATATGTGTGCGTTTCATTGTATTTACGTTACACGTAGTTAGTAGTGTTCGTGAATCTTCAACTCATTTCAGTTGTTTAACTGACAAAATTTTGAAAAAGGGCAATATTTCTAGGATAAAGAAACTACAACCCTCATCGCGCATTCATCGTCATTCATTATTGGAACGCTTTTCAAGTGAGTAATTAATAATATCTATACTTATTACTATTTAAGCAAAAACATTTCACTCTTCATATAAATACAATTCTTACTAGAATCATGTAAGAACTTATGCAACTGTGAAGTTGAAATCTATTCTATGAACATGCCTAGCGCTGATCTGTTCGCTAGTAATTTCGGTATCGTTATAATGTAAACACAGCACGTGCCGCTCGAAATATTTACGGCATCTTGGCCGCGATTCAATAATTCTACAATCCTAAAAAGCGACGAACAGTTAGTTGCGGGCCTTCCGATCGCGAAAACAAAGACATTTACGGCCAAGTGAAAGGCGCGCGCGTAGAGCGTCGCTAAGTAGACGATCGCTCCGCGTCGACCGCCAGCGGCGAGTGCATTCGATCGCTGCAGCGGCATCGATCGCTCAACCTCCGCGGGGCGCCGGGAGCCCCGCGATTGGTCCGCGACTACGGCCACGTGACGGCGGCGGCGAGACGCCATTGGGCGGCGGCTCGACGGCCACGTGAGCGGCGCGCGGCGCGCGTGGCCAGTCGCGGCGTGACACCGGGCGCGCTCGAACTGCGCGGCCCGCCGTCCGACATGAGCCGCCTCGAGACCCTGCTGGAGGCGGCGCGCTTCATCGAGCTGCAGGAGCTGCGCCTGCAGGCCGGTAAGTGCGCCACCGTCCCGAGCCCGGACGGAGGATCGCCAGAAACCCCCGCCCGGATTCCACGACTCCGGAGTTAGTGAATCTGCTCTTGTAACTTTTCTAAAACGCAACCGGTAGATCTTTACGTGTCCGACGTGACGTTGCGTCGTTTCGTGAGAAAATTGCGGGCGTAAAGTGCCGACGGGTGCGAGGGAATCTCGACCCTATTACATTCGCGACGCTCGAGATAATGGGCCTTTTTACGGTGAAGCGGGCGATCGTACGAGAGCATTACACGTGTACCGCGTCCCGTGGCTTACGACGCACACATAGGCGCGTATTCGCGAGTGTGGATTAGATAAGTTGAATGCGGCCGGTGTTTCCCTCTACTGTTGATGTGCGTACGTGGTCGAGCCGTGACGCACTCTCTGGTCTTCGTTCATCGACGTCGGTCACCGCTCGCCGGTTGCGGCTCACTGTATATCGTTCCATGATCCCGAGGACTCGATCAGCTGATCGGCTCTCGTAAGTCATAACGTTCGAAGGGACGCGAGATAGAGACAAAAACAAAGTATGCAAAGCACCTAACATACGCTTGTATATTTATGACCATTCAAGTAAGATTATAAATAAGAACTAATATTATTTTGTTTTAGTTGTTTTCTTTTTTCCCCACTTATAAAAGCACTCGAACAAAGCACTTTACCTAACAAACAATATTAAATGCACTTCTACAAACCAAAATATTAAAGAATTATATTATAATAAGTAGCGCGAGGGGCGCGGGAGTGACTCGTGATGAGACGCGCGGTGCATTTAAAGAAACAAATTAGTTTTTGAAGTAAGTTTAACACGAATGTAGCACAAGGCACGGTTGCGTAACGGTCCGTCGCTTACTCCGCACCAGACTTGCAGATAAAATTTACTTGCAACTTGACACCGAACAAATAATTACAATAGGCGATGCGTCACTGTATTATCGTGATTTGGTTCTACAATAAATGCTCATGTCCTCAGTGATATACTCTAAATAGACCAGGTTGTTTGTCAATAATTTATGTTAGATATATGTAATCCATTGCCTAGGTATTCTCAAAGGTGGAATAGTAGTCACAATATATACACGCCACGCAGTTGTATAATCAAAATGCGTTACGTGGCTGGAATAAGTGTCGGCTGTTGACTGATCCAAAGTTCACAAGTTCGTGAAACTTATTGAAATTCAATAAGATTCGGATCTGAACGTGTATGACGACGCCTTTGTATTTCATATTCAAAAATCTTGTTCAGTTGCTGAAACTTATAAGTAAATACAGACTCAACAATCAAACGTTCTAGAACGCAAATGATTATTAGTAATATGTAGATGACTCAGTTAGACTATGCTGAGTTACAACGTTGACAGCAAATAGTACGTAACGTATTCTTTAAAATGTTAAATGGTTTTACGTACGGTACGTATTAGAAAAATGTCAGAATTCTTATAAATCTAGTTATTGTCACTATCCAAAAACTATCCAATTCAAAACTATTATTGATGTAAACAGCACGTACAATAATTTCTTACGCAATTCTTGTACGCAATTATCTCTTCATTTGCAAATATGAGTGCAGTGAGTGAGGGTGTGTTGATCGTTGCTGCTTTTCTGAGGCAAGAAATATTGAGAAAACCTCGTAAAAAAAAGGTGTTGGATCAAAAAATGTAGGTATAGCAAGAAGAGACGTTCTCGGAGCATCTAACAATCTTTGTTTAGAGTTACAAACAGAAAATGAAGATGACTTTGACATGTTTCGTGTGAACAGAACCCATTTTTATTTTTTGTTAGATAAAGTTAGTTCTTCTATATAAAGGCAAAAAAATAATAATTTTTATTTTATTTTGTTTGTTATTTCCTTTGGTCCGAAACCGTCAACTTCAAATTCCTGTGAAAATGCTGCTAGCGCAGCATCACACGTGCATCACGGTTCTTATAATCTACATTTTCGGTATCCCATAAACACTCATGTCTGCGATTAATCTCAATGAACTTTATTATATCAGCAGAACTGAATTTAAACACCTTTTTACTCATAATAATACCTCTCTTTTGGATGGTTCTAATCTTGTAAGGAGACTGAGCTCTGGTGGTTAGGACCTATTTTAAAAAAAGGGTGCGTGTACTTACAGTGTGTACGCGCGTAAGTTGAAGGTTATACTTCTTTGGCCTTTGGCATTATTAAAAATGTTGGATTTTGGCTTTCCCCCAGTTCCCCCCTCGTTTTGATGTTTCGCAGCGATAAGATGACAACTCTTTTTTTATTCAATTTAGTGCACTTACACTGATTCATCAATTGTTTTTTCTCTTGTCCTTATATTTGCGAGAGAAAAAATACATGTTTTGATTAAACAATGTGGTAATTTTTAATCAAAACATTACTCGATAATAATAATACAAACTGATAGTTTACCTCACTTCAATGTAATGGAGGACTTAGGAAGGTTGATGAGCACAGTTTTTTCACAAATATTAATTAGTATTGGTTTAAATATTCAATTTAAATCACTTCTGATTATATATAATTCAAAAAGCTTCTTAATTTCTTTGAAAAAATAATTAAAACTCCTTTATTTGTTTAAAGGTAAATGTGACAAATGTCATTATGGTCATTCAAAATTCTTGGCATACGAACTTCACGCATATTCTATTTTTTTACTTGTAGATTGTCTTATTCCTATCGGTCGCTCGCGCACGCTATAATCACCTCCTAATTTTGTGTCACGGTGCGCGCGCATCGTAAATCATCACTCTCATAAATTTTCATAACGCGCCTAAAGAAGTATAACTAAAAACAATAATTTATGTTTATAAAGAGCCAAAGATGTTACACTATCCGCGTCTAGAATAGAAGTACTGTAAACAAAAAACAGAAACTATCTTTTTATATAAAATTCTAACAGGTGTTCTTTATATTCTAAACTAAAACTTTTTATTTACATGTGACAAGTGTTTCTGCCATTATTACTCTAAAACATTTAAGACTTGAATGAAAAATTTGCCAACGCAAATACGTGCAGTACTTGAACGTAAGCGCCATTAAATGGTATACGCACGTACAAGCCTGTGTTTAGACAACTCAAAACTTGAAAGTAATAATCTCCTTAAAATAGTTGCATTGACAAACAAAAGGCATGTGCAATTATTTCCTTGTCAAAACTTGAATACAATAATTGCATTCAAGTTTTCAAGTGTAAACAGTTGCATACAATTCTTGAACGTCAATTATTGCGCTTCATTTATTGCTCTGGTATGTACAAGAAAATGGCATCCTGTAAATGGGCCTTTAACTTAAGATAGCACCTTACCTATGGAATAATTATCTGGAGGAAAGTACTAGTTGCATTTGAATATAAATATGTATTCCTATCAGCATTGATATTGCATTGAAGTTGAAAAGGAAAGGTCAGCGGAATCGGCTCACGTGACGTACCAATGATTGATGACAAATGCAGTCTTTAATGATTTATGCTTATGATCTTGGCGATAGTAATACATTTGCATTTATTCCCAGATTTCATGAGCCATATAAAACACTTAATAAAAACGGATAACAATGGATAAGTTTCAGTTTATTGTGGTTTTATAATAAATTCGTCTATAGATAAGTAAAAATAAATGATGGTTGTGAATTCTTTGTTAATACGATCTGTAATGAATTAGCTATCTGAACAAGTGAACGTCGTCTTGTCACGCACTTTTGGCTTTCTCCAATCCTAGTCGCTTTTAAAGTGGTTTATCTATTTTGATTTAAAATAAGTATTTATTGGACTTTTAAGATGTTAGTAACTGGGACTTATCCAATAATAGTTTAAGTATAGATAAATTTAATTAAAAATAATTGTGAGTTGTCATGGGAGAGACGATGAGACCGAGCCAGCTAATTCAGTCTTTCTGTCAGATTTAATGTACATATTTGCAGTTTACGATTAACATTTAGTCAGACTGTAATTTACTTTAGGAGAAGCTCAGATTTTCTTTATAAGATAATATTATAGGAAGGTTTTTTTGTTTAAATTGGTGAATGTTCCTACTTAAACATTGTTGCTAGAAGTATACATGTATATTAAAATCACCTTTACTTAAAATATATTATATCTAGTAGAGAAATGTAGGATCTACAATCTACTAGGCACAAAGATTACTTATCCATTAAAAGTCTAGGTTCTAGTAATCTTTGTGGCTAGATTTACGTGTCGCGAACACGTCACTGGCTGACGCTGGCTGCCATTCCTCTCTCTTCTTGTTAACTACTCGAGTTATGTACGAAAAGAAGATTTTAAAAAAAAGTACGAAGGCGACAACTTTACCGCCGTAAATATTACTATTACCCCTTGTATTTTGCGTTTTTGCTGGGCACTTACTGGGGTACGAATCACTTGAACTACGAGCAAACAACTTAGCATTGTTTTTTGTTGTAAATACATGAGAGTAAAGCTCTTAGAGCGACTAAAGTAGCGGGCTAATACAAACATGTACCAACAGCTTATTGGAATTTTATGTTAATCATTTGTTTCTAAAAGGTGTCATTGAGGCGACCAGTGGCCACAATAGAATGAATCATATGACAAAATGTGACTAAACGGTTCGTTGTAGCTGTTGAGGTTTATTATAAATATGTTCTTCCTGGATTTTCGTCTTTTATAAGGCTTTTATTGGGCTTGCCAAACAAAATAAATAACAATAAAGCCAATTTAATTTCACACTTTACAATTCAAATCAAATGGGTATTAGTTTTGTTATTATACACTTAGTCTACGTTAGTTATAGTTTCATTACTTCGTGTTCTGCAGTATGGACCCCTTTTGGGTATTAAGGCCTCCTGAAGTTTCCATTTGGAGCTGTTCTATGCTTCCTCGATTCATTTCTCCCAGAAACATCGTCGCTTTAGCGGTCTTTCGTTTTTTTTCCTGGAGGTTCCCTCCAGCGGGTGGCTTGTAAACTCTACTTTGTTATTCGTGCTAAAAGAAGAGACGAGACTTAGCACGAACTATGACCCCCCGAATGTCTACTTGTATATCAATTTTAGATGTACGGCAGTCAGACTTAGCGCCTTAAAAGCGCTTAAAAGCGCTTAAAAGCGCTTAAAAGCGCTTAAAAGCGTTCCTAACTTTCACAGACCACTGTAGCCTCATCTGGGAACAAAACAGTTATGTGAAAAATTTACGCAAAGTTTAATTTGAATAGTTTTTTATTTTTTCTAATATGTTGCAATAGTGATTGCTATTTTTAATTATCAACGATACATTGTGTAAATGTAAATTTTTACCTGTAAATAAATACACCTAGGAAATAATAAGCATGCTGGTTACCTGATGTCCTAGATATGCAAAGTGTTTGTCGGAGTAAACAATACAGAAACATACAAATAGCGGGCGTTGCATCACACTCGGATGTCATAATTGCAGTTTGATTGTTCGCATGTACGTTCACTAATCTATAGTTTGTTTTATTGCATTACTGAGGTCGCTTATCAATATCTTAATGCTAAAATGATTTACCTATTATGTGGAAATGGGTTTTGACGAAAAAAAAACATTTTTAACTTACGTTTAGGTAACTGCCCGACGAGGCATTTCTGAACCGATACGACTTCGGGAAAGAGCGTACCGATTCCTTAAAGGCCGACGACGCACTCTGGCAGAGTCCATGGGCGGCGGTGTCACTTAATATCAGGAGACCACGTCTCAAATTATATGATTTCTAATATTTTTTCAGATGTGGGGTAAATATCGCACTCCTGAGACATTCTGAGACGCAGTTCATTAAATTCGCAGAATAGTAAATTATTTATCGTCACTTCTTTTGCCGAGGGGTAGGCAGAGACCATGGATCTCCGGTGGCTTCATCAACTTACATAACATTCACCATGCATGCCCGTCGGTTATAGGATTGACTTGTCCCTTCTCTAGTACTTCCTGAATTTGGTCTAGGTATGTCCGACTAGGCCTTCCCAACCCGATCTCACCATCTAGCAGTATATACAAGGCATTGTATATACTACTAGTTCACCGCTTCGCATTAATCCGTTCTACATGGCCAATGGCTCTAAGCATTCCCTAATAATAATTATTTGTTTGAAAAGTTCGGTGGTTCCTAAAAAACGATAAATGATTCCCAGATTCAGAAATGTACCTGCCATATCCATCTGCTCTTTGGCAAATCGATCCATGTCGTAATAGTACTAGTGTTCATTATCATTTTACATATTCATATGTAATATAAGATATATTTGGAACCAATATGCCAATATCTTATATTCAGCATCAGGCAATACGTATTATTAACTCCGTTTTAGCTGCGTAGTTTATTAAACTTGGGAATTCGTCAATGGCCTTATGCAACATTTAAACTGAAGTGGCTTTGCAATGACAGTTGAGTATAAAAAATTGATATATCTTGTATCAGCTCATAGCTCTGGTTACATGTTTAAAATGGCTTCGAAGCGAGACTTGGTTATGGATCAAAATCTGGTGCTAGTAGTGAAAGAAATCACGCGATCAGGCAATTGTGAGGTCAGTCAGCTACCCGGCTAGCAGAAGTGAAAGTGATCATGTGGCCTCGTGACGCCACGGTATCGGCTTGTGGTTATGCGTCAAAGAAGTTTCGACTCCCGCGCTTCTTTTGACGATTTTCTAGTCAATCTCGTCTTCATAGCCAATTAAGTGGTCCCTCTCTGAGTTTCAAGCAATTTCTTTGCAATCGGTCAAAATGTGGAACGGCAATTGAGTCCATTAAAAAAATTGTCTAAAGTTTAAATCTGTTTTCGTATTTTTCACGATGTCCTGAAACATCTAGAAATAAAATAAAGTACTTAATCATTTCTCTTGATATTGCTATTTTGTTTTACAATCCAGAACGAACCACAATTATTATTCAAGCATTGGTTTCATTGATAATAATAATTCTCGAGTGATGTAACGGTATCAGTTTAAATATTGAAATGAATTCAGTAGTTCGAAACTTCACTTTAGACTTGCTAATGGCCGATCATACATTTGGTTGGATATTGTGTTTGCATTAATTGACTAGAACGGTATCGTAGTGCTCGGTCCGTTACACGCTTAAATTGAAATTCAATAATACCTTTGAAAATGTTAAATCTTTCAACTGAATTGTTTTTAGAACTCGTTTAATTTGAGTTTATGTCGTTTTGACCTCAGTCAGAGTAACTTGAAAGGGCAATTTTATCAGTGCGAACAAGTCGGGGGCTTTCACGCGATACGCGTCGTATCTCAATATCCTGTTGGTCGATTCCCCCTTCATGTTTCCATTTTGATAGCTGTTTTACGATAGCGGAGTAATCATGTAACATCGCTCGTGTGACCCTGGAGTACATTGCAATTTGCAGCGTGTCGACGACGCGTACAGATAAATTGAACAATATTTTTGGCAGCAGAAGACGAGGTAAAGTTGAATCTTTTTAAGTTGAGCGTCGAGTGGTTTGCACAAAGCAATTTTGATGAGGTCCGCTGAAGCCAGAAATAGAATCTAGGTATAATGCTAGGTCGCCTCGCAACCTGCTCGACCGGCAGGTGTGGTTTACGAGGGGAAGAGGTGCGGCGGAGTGCGGGGGGGTTGCACGCTGCACCGCGCCAAGGTCAGCCGGCACACGCATGCGCTCCCTCCCGCCGACCTTATCGGAGCGAACACCTAGTGTTTATGTATCCCTGCGACCTGCACTCGAAACAATAGCCTCCCGGACACTTCGCCGCACGGAAATCTTGTTGAAAAATATCGATAAACTCCCCCCACTCGGACGTACGCGATGTGTGCCGGTGACTAAAGTTAAAATTTCTCTTCAGAGTTCACGGTTAGAAGCGTATCGGTATGCGCCTCTATTAATAGCGAAATCGCTGATAGTTTGTTTCGCACAGCGCGATGATTACCGATATGCGTAGTTAGTTAGCGCGATTAAAGATAGGGGATTTTTTATATACACGGAGCCCTCGAGCTCTTTGCTTTCTCAACCAGGGTCAATTTAGAGATTCCTTGGGAAGTTACCTTAACAGCATTCTAGAGAGTTAGTTTATCGAGAGACATATCATTCAAATCTTTAATACCGTGTGGGCGATGGCGGCCGCCAGTACGTAAGTACGTTTCGTTAGAAAGCTTGCGTTTTCGCGCATAAGGAGTGGAGCGTCGCGACCGGACACCTACATTCTCATCATCCTTCGTGGCATTTGATTCGGTACAATGTTCCGTTCACCTTATTCGACGAGGTTCAGTGACATCGATGGCGACCGACGGCGCCACGTCACCGATACCCAACGCCGTGGTCTTCGGCCGCCGGTTAAAATTCAGTAGACGCGCGAGGCGGTGCGACGGCGACCTCGTTTAGAAGGGAGTCGCTTGCAGTTATGTAAAGTGCGAGGCGCAAGAGGATGCAGGGCGAATGTCGCGCGCCGGGCGCGGTGCACCGAGACGAGAGGCGCGGGGCCAGGGGCGCGGAGGTCGCCCGCCTCCCGCCTCGCCCTCCACGCGGCTGGCCCGCGGCACTCGCTGCCTCCTCAGTCTTCATTGTGGGTCAGTCGTCGAGTGGAGCTTGTCGACGTCGGTCGGCACTCGATCTGCTTAAGCGCGAGTCGCTGCGTGTACGGTCCGGTGCGTATGGGATTCGCGGGTGCGTTTGCGGCAGTTTTTAACGCCGAGCCGACGGCTGTGCTTGAAATAGCGTGTGTTATCATCGTGACCTCGGCCGCGACGAGACGAGATAGCGCGAGGTCGCCGGCACCTGCGCGCCGCCTCACACGTGCGCGACCATTGCAGCCAACAATTAGCGGTGCCCGCCACTGACCGCCGCTGGTTCGACTCCGCAGACGGTCCGCGAAAGCCCTTCTTTTCTCTTTGTTTATAACCTTTTCAACAGATACAGTCACTTCTAGAACATCCGATCGAAACACTCTTTGTTTGGTGGTTGCAAGTTTTTTAATATTCGACGAACGGCAGTCAATTGTTTGACGTGCGTGTTTTGTTATTGAAGTATAACTAGCGCTTGGTTCTGCATCTTTGTCTATGACTTATTTATATCTACTAATTGTATTGATAGATTATTTAATACGTTAAATATGGACGTTGGTGCGCCTTTTTTATTTAGTTCTGCAGTTAGCTTCTAATTCTAAGGGTAACAATTATTAACTTGGTGATGTTTATAATAAACAGCGCTTCAGACTGAAAGTAAATATTTTCCCTCTATGCATTATATATTTATTGCTCTATTATTTTACGTGAAGTTAAAAAAATTTTTTTTAAATAAATTAGTAAAAACTAAAAAGTAAACCTTGCGAAATCACGATATGACGAAAAAATTTTTGTTTCAATAACTATACTATAATTCACTATTAACTGCATCAAAATAAAGTGCTAACCCGATGTTATTGCCAATGTAATAATTGCGACATTGCAATTATTACACATTATTTGCTATTCGTTAGTAGTTTGTTATTAAGGAAAAACTGGAGAAATGCCGCACAAAAATATCTAAATATGTACATATTTGTTTTACGGAGATAAGAAATACGTCGAGATCACTAATTAGTTAGTTACTTTTAATGAGTTCGTCATAATCGCGTAAGCCCTACACAAAAATATCCGATTTCCACAAAAGTATCCGATTTCCATGGTTTCCTAAGTATGCTCTACGTTTTTTATCATTTCAGTTGTAATTGAAATAATTTGATTCGACCAAATCATTTGTTAGTTATGCAATATCTTTTGTTGCGTAACAGCACGTGCTGTCCTAGAATACATTCCACTTGGTTTCCATTGTTTTGATATTGTATCATCAAGGTGTCGGTTTGCAGTGTCTAATTTCAGTTGTGTGTGTCAGACATGTGTCAGACTGCTGAAAACTCATTCATATTGACCATCGCTTTTTTCCCAAGTAATTTCCCAAACATGTCACATAATAGTTTTTCATAATACAGAATAGCTAAAAACGTATACAATTAATATAATAAGCGCATTACCGTTTCTTCAAACAACGTTATGTAACACTTCGCGGGTTTCCTTGATATCGACACAGCTCAGAACATAAACCGAATGTGTCGTCGATTCAAGCTATGGAAGTTTGTCATAAAGTTGACAAATAATGTAATGCTTTTTTGGCTCTGGTGCAGCTGAGGATATTGTGATCGCTTGACGGTTCCCCTTTATTAAATCTCTAGTTAAACCACCTACAAGTTGAAATACAGTAAAATTTATGTGTGTAAAAATAGTGAGAGCTTAAAATTATCCATGTTCGAAATCAGTCTTAGTGTGTGAGTGATACACGTGTCTCTCTTTGTTAGACTATGCAATACGGTCTTCCGTTGTACTAGGATCGTATGATACAACAAGAGCTAGTGAGTGGGTTGCGGTTCGAGGTAGAGGGGGGTAGTACACGTGCTCGCAGTCATATCGCCGTGCATGCCATGCGTTCGTTCCTCTGGCCCCTCGGCCCTCCCTCACTTGTTGAGCGGATTGCTCACTATCCGTGCCACTGGCCTTCGAGCGAAACGATATAATATCATAACTCTTCACACTCGTTAATGCCGCTTATTTTCTGTCTCTTTTCATGGTCGTATTGAGACTATCGATTTCTACATATCGTATTTGTGTTATTGTCTTTTTTAATTAATCATATTTTGCAAGTAAAAATGCCTAAGTGCCTTGTGATCATTTTTTATTCTCTAATGATTGTAGTATGCATCCTTCTGGAAAATTCTGTTTCGTTTCTATTGTTTCACTTCCAACACTGTTATCAATGTTTTGAAATGTATAGCGAAGTGAAGCTTCAGTTTTATAAAAAAAATACTGTTTACGCGCGGAACTTTAGGGTCTGTAGGTTTCTATATGGGATGTAATTAATTAAAATATTTTTCTCTGGATAAATAATAATTTATTATACCTACTTATTTGTTATATTATTAAATTATTTATTTAATTCATATAAAAGTTATACTTTACGCCGTCCCTTAGCCGTTAGCAGCAAGAGAATGATTTTTGTTTCTCTTTCAGTTTCTCAATTATTGCGGTAAAAAATTAGCTTTTAATTGTTTATTGTTCGCCATTGTTTTGCTCTTGTATGGCTTTAAGTTTTGAAATTGTTTCATTTAACAATTAATATTTTGAAGGAAAAATTACGACTGCGGAAAAAGTTGCAGAACTTTCAACCACCTATTATTATTGTTTGTTTCTTTTTATATCAGTATTTCAAACAATTAGCTTTTGACATAGAAAACTTGCATCCTCGAGATACTTTTATACTGACTTGTTTTTGTATTAATTATTACAGAAATATTTTAAGCCAATAAAAACTAAACGCACCCGGTGATTCCACCCAAGATAAAAAGTTATCAAAAATAGCGTTAACGACAAAGTAAACAGTGGTAAATTAGTTATTTATAAATAAATAAATAGCGGATCGAGTGACAATGAACTTTGTAAGGGACCACAGTGAAATATTAAAAATGAGGACATGTAGTGCGTGTTAGAAAAACTGTTGAAACATAGAATGGGTATTGTCATGGAAAGCTCAGAGGTTAACTTGGTCGGTGCCAATTGTCTCAGTATTGAGCCAGAATTGTTTGGAACGATGAGTGCTCCCAGCGAATACTATGAAACCCTCCACACCATCGCAATAAATACCAGAGGAACAGAATTCGGAAGCTATGTGGAGCCCATACCGATTACGCTCAAAGCGTATAAGCACATACCGACTCTCACTCCTACAAACGGTTACGGTTTCCCTCACTCGGTCATAACTCCGTTGCATCCTGTTCCCCGGGTAGAGCCAGAGAGGGCTACGACGTCTGTTATCATACAGAGTCCTGTCAAAGAGGATAAACCTAAAGTGGCAAGGCCACCTAAAAAGAAGTGGATAAAGGAGTATTTAGGTAAGTTTACATAGTTATCTATGATGTCAATCTGCAGCTATTTTAATTCCTGACACATAACTGTTTGACGAGTCGTAATTTAGTTGCAGCATCGCTATAACGTATCGAAATACACGTACAAATTAGATTACTCCGACGATCGCCCGTCGACCTTGTTGGGACAACCTTGTGTTGTTTTTGCACAATAGTGAGACTGTTCGCGACTGAATTCGTCAATGAATAACCGTTGCACACTTTTCACGTTAAATGCTTCATATTACATGTTTAGTGATATTAAGTTCAGCACCTTATGGTTCCAATTCCCAAACATGCTGTGTGCCAAGGGGTATAGTGTAATATGGATGATACAATAATATAAACATAGCGTCGGGTAAAAAGTCATTTTTTATTACTATTTCGATAAGGAATGGTCGAAAGATTTTATTTTATTTCATATATTTTAACTCGGCCGATCCTCTTATATTTATGTGGTAGTTACGCCCTCAATTATATAATTTCTTAATGAGTTTTTGTCCGTATTTTGATCTAGTTCAAGGCAAAGTATTAGTTACTATATTATCATAAGTCTAGCCGCTTATTGTTCCCATACTAATTTCGTGTGAATATTTCGAATCGAGGTATTTATTAATATATTTTTTTATTATTTTAATATAAAACTGGCCACGAAATCGTGGAAATCGTTCTTATTGGACGTAATTTCATTTAAATATATTTAACCAATGTAATACTAAGTAAGAGTGTTCCATTGCAGTATTATTGCTGTTTAAAGACCTTCGATATATGTCATCATACAGGTATAACTAATTTGCCCTAGAATTGTTTAACATGGAATTTCCATTCAACATAATATTTGACCTTATTGCTTTACTTCAGATAAATCACTCTAGTTGTTTAGTATGCAACAATTAATATGCAGATGTGTAAATACTAAATAGTGAATAGGAAGTGGTTAGAGGAAGAATGGTTGTTGACTGTCAAGGTTCTTTAGCGGGGATTTATATTGTACCTTTCAATAAATGATATTTATCGTTGCTGTAGAAAGATAACCTCGAATGTCCAGAGAACCAAACATTACAGGAAACGAAAAAAATGTTTCATTTCTTCAATGTTCGTTGTGTGTGTTTTTGTACATAGTTTTAGATGGTAAAAATGACTTATTTATTAAAAACATTAAAAAGTCCTTACTTCATGATTATACCAGTTAAATGACATAAGAGTCTAAGAATAAAAAATAAATGGTTTTTATCATACGAGGTTATCATTCTACAGTGACGTTACGACGTTTCAAGTAGATAGAGAATTATGTGACGCCGTCTGAGTATGGTTTTTCTTTCCGTGCACACTAGCTTGGAAAAGGAAAACTCGTGAGGAAACCGGTATGCTATAGACGCCGCGACCAACATTTGTCAGGCACATTAAGAAAATTGAAAAACGAACAGACGCAGATATGTTTACCCCATTTGTTCGTTTTTGTTTTTTAAGGCAGTTATTACCGGAAACCGACTGCCCACTGAAGTATTTCCGAACCAATTCCACTTAAAAGACCGCATTGGCGAGCCTTATGGCATTGAGGGCGGCGGTATCACTTAACATCAGATCAGCCTTCTGCCCGTTTTCCCCCCCGTGCTATAAAAGTAAGTTAAGGCGAGATTTTGTTAAATTTACGAGACTGAAATGTTACGCATTTTGTCGCATTGCTATAAAACCCGTAGAAACAGTTATATACTTTCTATATGCAACATGAGTTTGTTTGCGTGAATATTTCCTGTTATCAAAGGAAATCTCTCTCTATTTCGTAATTATTTTCTCAGGTGTCAGAAAAGTGCATCTATCGAAGTCACTGCTGCAATTGCGCAACAACGTTAAGATACGATAAGCAAATTAAGCGATTAAAAGGCCGAAAGTAGAATATTTTATTACAGCCATTTATTTCATATACTTTTACGCTTAAACATGTGTATTTATATTTCTATCTCATCTTTTTTAGGCATCTGTGTGCCCTTTTTTGGCAAAGGCCTCCTCGAAATCCATTCCTGTCTGCACTATCTCACTCTCTGCCATGGGCCACCTGCTGTTTACTTAATTTGGTCTATCAATCTTCTAAATCTCTTTTTCGTTTAGTCCAGTTTAGTACTTTCTTGGTCCACTTTCTGTTCTCCTTGCCATTTGCCCCGCCCATTTCTACTGAAGTGTATTTATTGTCGTTGTGACATCTACCTTAGTTACTTTTCCTAATGATATTGTATTCTCTTCTTTCCTATAGATCGTTCCATCGATCTTTGACAAACCTGTAACTTTGTATGCTGCGTTTTAGTGGGTTTTAGATCCAACTAACGTTTACTTAATTCTCGATTTTACTTAGGTAGAAACTTATTCAAAATTAAATTCAGTCTCTGGGTTACGCATGCATTCTTTGCAATACGTGTATTTAACCCAATTTTAATCATCAATATACCATATAGTTAAATTTTATATTAATATATTATGCAATACATACCTACAATCTCGTACAATATGCTCGCATGTGTCTCGATTATTACGTAACCCTATATACCTATCGTGTTTTATATAATGCTTTGGTACATTAGGTATCTACTAGGCTAACATATAAAATTTCACAAAATTAAATAGCTCAACATATACATTCTCCTTTACGTGGATTAGAAATTTCATTTAAAGCAATAATAATATATTTCTTATTCTATTTTATTTTATAAATATATTTTATTCTTCATTAAAAATTTAGCTTTCTCTCTCTCTCTCTCTCTCTCTCTACGTGCCACGATAATTCGTATCGGTGTCACATGGGTCACCACTCACCAGTCTCCTTCTGATGCTATAATCTTGATAAAATTTACACGTGTCGAAAGTACGCGATTTAATATAGGCCGCGCTTAACGATTCGCGAGGTTGTTGACATTGCGATAAATTGATATCTCGGCGCGTATTTTTCTCAGTAATGATCACTCAAATGGCTCTTTTACTATAATATAAGGTGTCTTATTGAGCGCAATGTTTCTTCATTAGTCTTTGTAAATTCATAATATTTCGCATTCCAAGACAGTTTCCAAAATGTCTTCACAAAGCAGTGTAAAAGTAGTTTGCTTAGCAGGTGGTAGGTTTCTGTTCGGTTTTGCTCGGACGGCTTCGACGTCACGTGCCGAGAGCCCGAGCGCCTCCCCTCCCCGCTTATCAGCACCACCAGTCGCGACTGTGACCTCCCTGGCAACTTGCACAATCAACACCCTACATGGAAGTTGTACTGCATCCTCTGGATCCTGCCAACAATATTTAATCTATTCACAAATAATAAAGACGAAGTTCACGATGTTGGTGCTTTCTTAACAACTCTCCTATTATGAACGTTAGTATAAATAATGAAGTAATGTGTTACCACTCTTACCAGTATTATGTAACGTGTTTTGCGTCGGTCATTGTTTTTATCGTGGCTAATTATTGACTCATTCCATGTTAGCTAAAATCTAAACCTGTATTACCTACACACACTTTGAAAGTGTGGGAGTAAGACGCTCGTCTTGGCACTCTTTCACACAGTTTGTTTGCCTCCGCAAACGTCCGCGACCGCGCCGCCATGCGCATTTGTACTAGGATCGTATAGCTTGTGAAAGCACTCACTAGCGTATGAGAAGCTATCTTGGTTGTTTTGAATTGCCAGAAATGTTTATAAGTACATATTATAATCATCACTAAGATTATTCCGTATTTAGTAGTATAGTTTTGCCTCTGCGATTAATAAACATCTATTAGTCATAAACAGTTGTTATAACAACAACAGTAACGAAACAGTATAAAGACATTTACGTAAACGCAAAACTCCACTACACAAGGTTATAAGGTAAACAGTGTTCGAGCATTTTCTTTATCCTCGTGGCTCCGGGTACTCGTGCGTGAAGAAAGCGCCCAACAAGGACTCGCAGGGGAATGACGCAAGTTTTATATAAATCAGTCCTGTCGTGTCCACGGACTTTTGCAAGCGATATGAAGCATTTGTTTCTGACGTTTCTGTTCATTTTCTCTATCGATAAAGGAATATACATTTTACGACAACTAGAAATTGGTAATTTAGTAATTAATGACATGACTTCATACAAGTTGATAAACATTTAAGTAGGTATCAGTAGAAAGATTTTAAAGTATTATTAGCGATTGGAGTATAATGTTTAGAAATTATTCGTCTTTGAAAGTCGACGATAGACATACATTAATAATTCGTTGATTTTTAATTTGGTTTGGGATACTAAATCCTATGTTTTAGATTTACATAGTATCGTCATCAGTTTCTTTGATTTACATTCGACCGGATGTCGTTTGAAAACTAAGACAAAAAGGTAGGCTAAACCTATATTAGTGCAAGAATCATGTCTTTTCACACATTATAACTGATCTGTTTAATTGTGTTACTTGTGTATGCCGACTGGACCACGTCGGCTTATCTCTATTGAGACTTGCCAATTATGCAGGAGATATACAAGTGTGCGTAGGCAGACGAGAGCACTCCTAATTCCATGACTGTCATCCTACGATGAAGTACAGCTACAGCTTTAGGTACATCTTATTTGAGGCACGAACAGGTACCAAACTAAGGCTACCTACAAGGAAATAACTAATAAAAGACTAGGAAAAGTCGAATTGACATATTTTCTAATGTTGGCCCTGTCTGGGACCAATTAGACTGTTGATATAATGAAATACTCTGTTAGCAACTCCTCTAAAATGTAGACGTCAAGAAAGAGTGGCGTAAATAAATAATTCAATGATAGAATACAAAGTCAGGATGTTTGTCAAAGTCAAGAGTTCACAGCCCCGGGCCACTCGGACTGATTCAAATTTATGCCGAAGGCTTGGAGCGCTCAATACCGCCGCCTTTTTATTTCTCTCTGCTTTTTACTCTTTTGTTCCTTTTATTGAATTTGCATATGTGCAGAAATACTGAAGCGGGCTTTTAGCTTGTCCGTATAAAGGTACTTTGGCAGTTTGCATACTGCTATTTATGACTGCAGTTTCCTTTTTGGGTACTTGAAAGCTCGTGTACTGTATTTGAAATTGGAAATAGTTTTAAATGTAAAGTAAATTTATGGATAATTATTAAAAGCCACGTTTCTGTTACCGAAAGCATTAAACGCCAAAAGCATTGAATTCGCGTACGCGGTACGACGCAGTGCAAGTGAACGCGAGACGCCCGGCCCCGGCCGTATGTATAGCGCACACCGGTTTTTTATATCCACAACCAGCAGCTGATTTTTGGCGTGGCAACAAACGTCAAACTCCTCATGCTGCAATGACGTCAGGCCGGTTACGCCTCTTTGCCGTCTCCCTCTAACGAAATATTATGTGTCCCTCTCCGTCGTGCTTAAACAGTAAACACGCAATAGTAGACCTTATCACAGCGAGTCAAAGTTTAATGGACCGCTCCACACCCGTCCTGACAGACGGCCTCTCGACCGTCTATACCGTCCTGGTAATTTACCGCCACGATTCGCAGCTTCCACCGCCCGCTGATCGCGCAGCCTTCGCGGCGCGGCGGTGAGGTCGGTTAGATTATTATCTATCCGTATCGCGATGTTCCGAGTTATGACGCTTGGCGTTTGTTTGCAGAGGAGGAGCCGGAGCTGCCGGTGTCGGTGCGGGTGGGCGAGTCGCCGGTGTCGCGCAGCAACGGCGTGGTGCGGCCGCCTTCGCCCCCGCCGCCCGCCATCCTCGACTTCGCACAAGAACATTCCAGGCCGCGCACTAACGGCAGTCACGGGTGGGTCATACTCCCCTGGTAGCCACGGTCTTGAAAACAGCTGGGGCGTTGCTTCTTTGCCTTGAATTATTTTTGTACCTGATTGATACGTCAATTAATTACAGTGTATTTGGATAAACTGGCCGTTATTACAAAATTTAGTGGGTATCCTTTGATATCCATTATGACTTTATTACATTATAGGTTACTTATACATATATATACTAACTATAAAAGTCTACTTATATGCAATAAATATTGTATAGTCAGTCACAAATGTGTCCAACTTCATCATTCCAAGAGGTAAACCCAAAATTTAACCCTCAATGTAAGTATGCAATGAAACGAGATCAATGCCTTTGCTCATGAAATGTATAAACCATAAGCAACTGCCTCTATTATTTAGGACGTCATGAATTAATGCCCATATCTAGAACGTTCTGTAATAAAATGTAAGAGGGTCATCTTGGAATTGTAAGTTATCCTTGCTATCGATATGCAGGTACCTGATTTGACTAGTGATATGCTATCAGACCGGTTCAGTCAACCATTTAAAATAGTTTATTCGTTAAGAGTTCTCACAAAGCGGTTTTGTACTTGTCTTGCAGTTTATGATACAATTGCCGAGTGAATATAATATATAAAAGTTAACTTTTGAAAAGCGAATGTTAAATTTCCAACCCTAAACATACAAAGCAAATGAATATCAAACTAGTTCCAACTGCAATTTTAAATTCCAAAAAGACTTCAGTTTCTCAATCTCAAACTGCAAACACGTTCTTTTTGCCAAAATTTTTCCAGAAATCTTTTAATTGCACGAATTTCACTCCAAATTTAGCCATGTCTAATGAAAATACATTGTACATGTTCTCATATCGAAGTAAACATGCACTTTTAAAACAGGTAAACAATTAAAATTGTGAATTAAAAAAGTCCACAGTAACAATTAGTAAAATAATTTGACCTATCAATTTTTAAAAACATTTGTATATCGCGATAACTATTACGTTTACTGAAGTTATAATTTTCATTAAAAATAAATAAAAGTAGGCGCTAGGTTTATCGGTATGTTTGTCCCAGGCGATTAGCGTCAAGGCTCTGTTGTGGATGCGTAATCAATATTAAACGCGTCCACTTAGATATTCAAATATAATAATATGTCTTTGCTCTGCATGCATTAATATCTCTATACGCAGGTCCCTGTTTTGTAATTTAACGACCCTTACAACAATTATTCGTGATATCTACCCACAAAATCTATATTAATTGTTTATTAGTTTTATTTATGCCGCAAATAAAATAAATACGTTGAAAGAGATTAAGAAATGCACAAATTTGTTTTAGAAAGTTGAGCCAGACTATGTATTTCTGTTCAGAAAATATATTAGTAGTTACTGCTACCGGTATTACTATACCGGATAGAATATGCTTTTTGTTTTCTGTACGCACATTATTGAAAACTCTTGCTTAGTAGACAAATACAATTGACAGGCCAACCCAAATCCCGTCCCCTCCGTCGGTGGGCAGCAACGGCAGTAGTAATGGAAGCTCCAGCAGCAGCAGCAATGGTAGCAGCAGCAGCGGCAACGGAATCCCTCGCGCCGGCACCCGCGAGGTCCACAATAAGCTGGAGAAGAACCGAAGAGCACACCTTAAAGAGTGCTTCGAAATGCTGAAGCGGCAGCTGCCGGCTACCCCTGATGACAAAAAGACCTCTAACCTCTCCATACTGGGTTCTGCTATACGGTATATACAGGTAAATGTTCATGAAATAACATTAAGGTGCAGCACAAACAATTAAAATAGGAAAAAAAATTACAAAGCGAAAACAACAGAACACAACTAAACCAAATTCATTGATATAATGATGTACTACTAAATATATCTTATGAAATCCATTTCACAGAAACGAGTAAGTGTATGTTCGTGAACAAATGAGGTCTATTTTTTTCATACAAATTTATTGCTGAACATATTTATTGATATTATAATATTTTTATGAATACTCTGTCCTGTTTATGTCACTCAAAACTAGGGCGCTATTGAAGGCTTCATACATGCACATTGTACACGCTATATATATTGAGATTTCATTCTAAGGCGTTTTTCTGATGTCAGGAAAATATTAGGTAAAAATAATCAAAAAAATCTAATATATGACTGGGTCTTTGTGGAAATCTGCTCAAAAGATTGTATTTAATATGTGGGCTAAGACAACTATTACGTATTTCTATGAGTTGTATACATTATTGCAGGTGCTTCGACGCAAGGAACGCGAATGCGAGCACGAGATGGAAAGGCTAGCCAGGGAAAAGATCGCCGCGCAACAGCGGCTCGCCGCACTAAAGCGAGAGGTGACGATCCGAGCCGCCGCCGTCCGGCCTCGCGTCTTTGGTAAGTAAACCTCTACGTATTTTCTGGGCGCCTGGTACATACGCTCGATATTATTTAATATTTGACAATGTTGTATGAAAATAATTATTCTAACTGAACTGTTTTATTAATAAATATCGGTTATTAATAATAAATGGCCGACCGACCATTATAATTAATTTATAGTTTTTTTTACCCGTAATGGGATAAAATAAAACAGGCGCCATCTCTTTTTATTTCTACAAAACGTTGAGTTTCGCTGTTTCAGTGTTTATGCTGCCGCTTATAATCATTATCATCCCCTAAGCTTTTGGACATTATTTGAGAAATTAAAACGTTTAAATTTTATCAAGAAATTATAAATGATTTCAGATGGTGATGAGGACAAAGAGAGAGAGGAAAATATCGTTAACGGTCAAGTTTTAGGAATTCCTATAAGTGTGAGTATTTTGATAAAATTTAAATCACGTGAAATTCGGTAGTGTCACGTATGATGTAACCACAATAATAACCTATAAACCCATGTAATTTCAGATTAACTGCTCCCCTCCGCGAGAGGCAATCCGCGCGGACACCCCCCCGCCCCGCACCCTCAACCTCAGCACAAAGCTGCGCACACTGCCCATACAGATATCGCCGACTACCTCGCAGGTATGCGTCCCTGGTACACAGTTAGAAATTAGGGCTGATCTTAATCTTGGATTAGAATTAGAAAATAGACAAAAAGTATACGATCTCCGCACACCGTTTGATGTTTGTTTTGTCTGTGTGTGACAGCAGGAACTACGGTTCTTATCTTGTGTGTTATAATGCGCACACTGATTACTTGCAGGTTATAGCAAATAAATCTTTTAGTAAACAATTATTAGAAATGGCGCAAAAAAGAAAATTTATTGAATTTAATTTAAAAAAAAAATTGACTTCGTTCGTATTTTTAACTTAAAAATAAAGTTCATCTTGAGATAAATTTTCTTTAAAATAAGTAACGCCATCTATGATGTTTTTTATGCTTATTGTGAGCTTTTAAGTGAGAAACGAAAGAATCATTTACGTAATAAAAAAAGACCGCGAAAAGGATTGCTCGCTTATCTCCGGTGGAAATGTGTTCTTAACATTAAAATACGTATTAATTTCGTGCAACACTTGCAGGTAGTGCGGGCGTCGTACGGTGCGAGGCACGGCGCTCTCACGCTCACGACCATCGCGCCTGCGCATTCCACCTGTACAGTTCAGGTAATGGGTCAGGCCTTCATTAGGCTTTGATTCTCGCTTATCTTACATAGAATGTGGAATAGTGATGCGGAATGTATTGCTCAAACATTTGCATTTACCAATGACTGAACTATTTAAACGCGTAGCAGTAAGAGACCGGGATTTAATATTGCAGAAGAGCGAGGACGGCACGGCCGCGGAGTTCGGTACATTGGTGCAGCCCGCGCAGATACATTTGCCCATCTCACAGGTCATCATCATCACTTTCGCTTTTAAGCCGTGAATTCTGTTGCTCGATGCTTTTGTACCGTTTAGAAATAATTTGGCCGATGCTATGAACTTACAATGACAGATGTTGCAATTATTTTCATGTGGCGTGTGCAGGTGGTAGGCAGCGGCGGCCTCATGGTGAGTCCGGCCGCCATCCAGTTGCTCTCCACCGGCGGAGGACTGCGGGTGCTGCAAACGAACGGTGACTCTCTTCTTTTTTGATTACTTCTGTTAAATAAGATCCTCCGATAGAGACGGTTCGTGATCTAGTAAAAAAAAAGTGCGTGCGTACAAAGTACACATGTCAAAAACTTCTTTGGTAAACTAATTTTTAACTCTTGTTCATATTTATACAAATCTAAAACTTTAGATTTCCGAGACTTAGATGGAGGGAAAAAGGAAGATATGTTAGGAATATAATGAATTAAAATGTAAAAAACGTCGAAAATTAATTCAAATAATAAATTTAATTTATTTCTTCGATAATAAAAACACGTGGCATTTAAATTTACAATTCGCCATTTGAGATTTCAATAAATTATTTTCCATGAAATATAAAATACTATTTCATAAATATTCTTTGCGAAATTTTAATTTTAAAAATAGAATTTCTTTAAGGTAATTCACCCTTCTCACTCTCTCTCTCAATCGGTCTCAATCTCTCTCTCCCTTTTCTTTGACAAAATTGCTGCACATCTTCGTGACGTTCCGTAAAAATTTTACCCTCATGCGCCTAAAGAAGTTTTATTTCAAAAAGGTTTCTACTTCAGTTAAAGTCCTTTAGTGAAATTTCCATATTTCTCCATAACGAGAGATTATTTTCTATTCTAGGCGTTACGACTGAGACCAGTCGGCTGTCAAAAGAGAACGGCGTCAGCGCGTCGGCCGCCGGCCCCACCGGTCTGTATTATTTTGCTAACTTTTTATTAAGCGACTTGGAAAGGTTATTTCAATAGTTTTTATTTTTATATCTATAAAACTAAATTTGTAACCGATTTCAGAAGGCAATAGCGTGGTAGTGAGCGGCCTGACTCCGCTGGTGGTGTCCCAATCGACCGCGCACTTGCTGCACACACACACGCACACAATCACCCAAAAGGTAAATAAAAACATTGGTTAAATTACTGCTTTTTTTCAATTAACGCACGCGTTTTTCTTCTTAGATATTTATCCTTCTATTAGAATCTCTTGATCTCTTTTCTGTGACAAGATTGAATATAATATTAATTAAATATTGTTACACACATAAAAAGGGTGCGTGTACTTATGTACGCGCGTAAGAAGTTATACTTCTTTGGCATTATTAGAAATAGATTTTGATTGCATGCAAATAATTAATTACAATTAAATAATCAAAGACTGGAAAAGGAGTCATTATAGTCAATAAAGTTCAGTTTACATTTGAAAAATTTAATAAATAAATATTTATAATTATTCTCTTACAAAATAAAAAAATTTTATAATTCATATTATAAATTTTTTAACACATTTATATTAATATAATTATATAAATGTGTTAATAATATAATTTGTAGCACATGCTACAGACCTGGATAGCAACTTTCTTTTATTCTATTTAGAGATAGAGATAATTTAAATATAATACCGGTGTCCTTCCTTGTAGGTTTCTTTTGAGTTGTTTGGGGATTCTTGGTTGATCAGTTCGACATGATTTTCTTTAACCTTTCTTTAATCCTACAAAATAATGAAATTGTTAAGTTATGTTGTCACTGTTGTGCACACCTTTGTTTGGCTTTTTTAGTATTCAAGTTATGTCAAAACTGATTTATTACCTTGTCATTGTTGGCTTTATTTGCTTTTGGGATAGCAATTGTTTCCAAAATGATTTTATTTGTAATATCCTGAAATATATAAATAACATCTATTAATTTAAGTGTCATGGTGAGTGGTTCGCACTCAGGTATTAAGGTGTATTATACCCACTGTCCATTATAAGTGGGAATGGGCTCACTTCTGGTGGACAGAGTTTCGGTACTACAAGAGCAACATGGATGTTTTGAGGGATTACAATATCTCTAACTACCCTGTAGGGGAATAAAGTATGTGCCTATGCTTGAGAGGTTGAGCCTTGAACATCACCATCATATTTATAATTAACATTCCTACCTCGACACCATCACAATCAAATTCATTGAAATCTACTTCAAACCGTTGTAGTATCATCTCTGCCATATCCATTGTGTCTGGAGAAGGTGATGGTGGCTTTGTTCCACCTCTTGTTTTTGATGTTTCACGGCGATAAGATGACAACTCTTTTTTTTTATTCAATTTAGTGCACTTCCACTGAAATTGTTTTTGTGTCTCTTGTCCTTATATTTGCTAGAATCAATCTGTAAAATTACATGTTTTGATTAAATAATGTAATCATTTTTTTGAGATGCAGGTACTTATTAAAATGTTTACTTCTCTGTAATATCGCTCCAAGCCTTCATTTCTCCTTATTAGTATTCGTGCTTAAATCTTTGTTCTCAATTATTGATATATAGGGTCGTAGAATATTTCTAAAAAGTTGCTGTAACAAACGCAATAAACAAAAGTTAATTAAGTTCATGTTTCAGTTTTAATCAACAATAATACTCGATAATACATACGGATAGTTAACCTCAATTGTATTGAAGCACTCAGGAAGGTTGGCACAGTTTTTTCACAAATATTTTATCATATTAATTAGTATTGATTTAGATATTCAATTTCTGATTATAATTCAGACGCACATATAAAATTCGCACTTGTATAATGAAAATAACTAGGTACTTTTAGAATCTTTTATTTTAAACAATAATTCAAACTCCTATATTTGTTTAAAAGGTAAATGTCATTGTCAGATGTCAATTGTCATGGATATTCAAAATTCTTGGTAAGGCTGAAAATACAATACATGCCCAGAAGGTAACTTATACATTCGTTAAATTTCTTTTTGTTAGATTGACGCACGCGTTTAATCACCTTCGATTTTTTGTCATAGTGCGCGCGCATCGCTTGAACTCTTCTCTCTCATCAAGATTTAATCATAATGTGCCTAATTAAATATTGTTACACACATAAAAAGTGCACCGCTGTTTGCAGATGGTCGAGAGCGGTATGGTGAAGAACGGCGTGCCTCCGCTGGCCGTGAGCGCGCAGTACCTGACGGCGACCACGATCGTGAAGCCCGTGGTCGTGGTCACCTCCGCCCACTCCCCGACCACGTGACCTCGCTCGCCCGACGCCCGCGTCGGTCTCTTCCAATGACACCGTCGAGTGCGACGCGATCCGCGGGCGTCGGACGAGACGTCCGGCGCCTAGAAGCCGATCGGATTCCATCTCCCGCGTGTCGCGACCGAGTCGAGGCGAGGGCCGGCCCGTAGTCCTAGATTATGTGGAACTTAGTTCTCGCGTCGGCCGAGAAGCCTTATTCGCGCCTCCTTATCTGTTAGACAGTCGAAGCGTGCCCTCTTATCTGATAGGACGTTTGTGATTATATTATATGCGAGGAACCGTGTCGTTTCCATCATTTCTTTAACTTCAAGCATTTTCGTTCAAGCCGCGAAACGGCAAAGCGCGACGCTACCACGAAATAAATACATTTCGACTACATTTTTATGCAATAATTCTGGCTAAAATCTGCGGAGCAGTATTATTTTGTGGTATCGGCGCACGTCTGGATGAAACGTTTAATATGTGTCACTACCTCTTCCCTGTGTACTCGCGGTCGGGCTTATAAAGTCGCGTGCGCAGGCCGCGATCACGTATGCGATATTCGAACTTCTCGAAAGGCGGTTAATTAAGATATGAGTGATATTGTGTTTGTCGTCCGACGATAGAGTATAAAAAGAGGAGTAATGAAGGAATGTTCCGATGTCGTATCGTGAGCGCGGCCTGGACGAGTGTGGAGTGTCGAGCTGAAGTCCTGTACTCCTGTAGATCCAGTTTTAAGTATATTTTTCTACAACAAATTCTACGTTGTGTACAGTCGAGAAGTGATATTGTAGATATAGTTATTTATTCCGTATCGGCAATGTAGGGAGCAAAATTACGTCATTCGCTTAACAGGAGTTTATTTGGAGCAGATTTCTCAGCAATAGGGCATTGTGTGGTGTGGGAGATGCTTTCAAACCCCACAGAGAGAAGTGAATACTTTTCTCTGGGACTCGTTCGAGGAAGCCTTTTCAATACTCAACACGTATTTTAATGCACCTTTATGTGCATTTATTGCAGCGAATTACTTTTTAATACTATATGTACAACAGATACTATTTAATTGAGTGATTGTTTGACGTCTATAGTTCAGTTTATTTAAAAATCACTTAAAATGTGATGGAACCAACCGTTGCAACGGTGCGATTGATTTATATTTATTTGGTCAGAAAATCAAGTGTAGTGTGTGTTGTACCAGGAGAAAAGAAAATAGTACCGATGGTAATAAGACAGATATAGGAATGTTCTGAATGTTATTTTTGTACCCTGAATATCTTTATTTATTTATTATTATTACTTTTTAAATTAAATTATTTGGGACCATTACTATTTACTATAATCACTTTTGGTATATCAAAAAATTTGTTCGGTTTGTACTGCAATAGAAGAAATTGTTTCGTCAGCCAGTGTTATTTGAATCTTTGGATGAAATATTATTGTCATACGAATCCGCAATTGCACTTGAGATTTATTGCAAAGCTTGATTCCGCTAAAGCAGGCCGTTTGGCCGTCCTAATCTAGTGCCTACATAGATAGAGTGAATACCTCGGCCGAGATAAATTTATCCTTATTTTTGTATCGCATACTTCCAAATATCACGAAATAATAAAATTTTAAGACGGCTTTAAAAATGTATAAAAATATTTTTGGAAATTCATTTAAGTACTATTTTGATACGCTTTGTTGTAATCGGGTATCAGGAGTCAATGAGTTGAAAGGATACATTTATCTGCTGTCCTGAGGATTTGTAAGATTTTCGTACTGTAGTTGTTGTTAAGTTTGCAGTTTCTCGTGTTGTTGACTCGACGATGTTGTCTTTTTCACTCATATGAATAGCGATCGGCGTTGAAGAGAGACAAATACTGTCCAGTTTTCTGATAAGCAATATTGTGCCAATAGTTTTTATATCGTTACGAGTAGATGTTACTTGCAAACTGAACATTTATAATATCGTTGTAATCGAGCTTTAACTTCCGTGATATTTTATTTTTGTGCAATATTTTCAATTATTAAACAATATATTATCGAAATCGTTATAAACTCAAAGTTGGACCTTGTGGCAATCCATCGTGAGTTACTTAATATTGGAAAATTAAACTATAGTATTGTCTTTTATTGACGTAACTTTCACACATTTGATAATAAAACTATTTTTTATCGAATTGAAGTTATGTATTATTAAATTAAACTATTTTATTAAAGCTATAAATTTATTGAGTTGAAGGATCCTGCTCCTGCGCTGATGTAAAGTAATGAATATTATTTAATTTTGTGAATTTCTCTAGCATTTGACTTTGCCTAACGGTAGTTGTATAATATGAAAGATGTATAATGTAAAAATAAATTAAAAGAGAGAATTTTATTTTAAATGTATTGCGAAGCGAGAATGCTCATGTAAATATTATAAATTACGTAGAATAACATTCTAAAATTTTAGAAATACAGATGAAACATATTTATTTTTTTCGTTTTATTTACCTACATTCTCCACAAAAGTAAAAAAGTCAAAAGTCAAAACTCATTTATTCATATAGATAACACAATGTACACTTATGAAGGTTAAAAAAAGAAATACATTAAATGCTTCTTTTTACATTTACTGCCAGTTCTCAAATCATGGGCGTAGAACGGAAGAGAAGAACTGGCAATAAACCCTCCGCCACTATTTAATCGCCAAGTTTTTTGTTTTACACAACGTTTGTAAGGAGCTGCAACCATTACACCATGTTCCACATGACATCTTAAATAATAGTAATAAATAATAATGAAATAAATTAAAAACAAAGATTAGTTCTCTATCAGCAGGAGACATGGAGAAATAGGAGCACGCACTTACATTCTCGTGGGAACAACACGCAAATACATAGTCGAAACAACTAACATCACACTGGTTTTCCACTACCCTTTATACAATAAACAATTACTTGGAGTTAGAATTTCATAAAGACGGAATAATTTTCGTTCTTAGTCCCAAAATGAAGACATAACTTTGAATTCTTTAGTGCAATATACGTACAGTATTAACGAAGTCGAGGCAAACGGCTACTGTTTAATGTCAAAGAAATTGATTTTCGCTTTATAAGTTCTCTACTCTACATTTTTTCTATAGAACAGGGGGCAAAAGGGTAGGAGGTTCTCCTGATTTTAAGCCCAAGCCAAGGTCCGAGACTTGCAGGGAGTTGCGGGAAAGCGCCCATTCCGGCCGAGCTACGCTCCCCAAAACAGCCCGAGCAGAGCTGTCAAAGCCTTTAAGCAAGATTCCATTAAAAAAAATTGCCACTGGGGCCTTTAGGCAGGCCAGTCAGAGGTTACACTGGTCGGCATCCTGCCTTTGGGTTGGAGGTATAGTACGTAATCTCATTTTACGATTAACGTTTTTAATAATAAATTGGGTTTTTGTGATAAGTATTTGTCGGTAGTACTTCCGTTTTATTTATTCAGTAGCTAAAACTACAAATAAATGCCTTATCCAATCTGTAGCGTAGTTAACCCTGTTGCCATGAAAATTCTTTAGGGCTCAACGATCTTAAATGTATTGCAAAATTTTAATGAAAACTGTTAAGCCGTTTGGTCATAATAAAGCCGACAGCTCTATTTCAAAGCTAGTCGCGCTTTGCGCATTACATTTAGAATGTAAGATCACTAAATCATATGTTGCTACGTACATTAAGTTTAATAACGTGAGTGAACCCAATCTAATCAAACGTGAACCTGTTGAATTTTATTACAAAGACACATTTATCTTAGGCATTTAGACGGCTAATTCTAGGAAATTTGCGCGATACATACAAGTGCGCGGCGTTGCGGTTTTTGGCCGTCGTCTAATATGAATTTGTTTGTATCAGAAGATAGTGTTCTAAGTTAATTACATTATCCTTGTACTGTTACGATAATATTCATATTACACCTATATTTTTTTATAGTGCAAGGGGCACTATAAAAAAATGCCATAACGTTTTTTCTATATTGTTTATCTACCAAATAATACCTCTTTTGCCTCGTCCAAGTGATTGCTTTTTTATATAAGTTAGTTACTACGTACTAAAGTGCCAAACTGTAGTTTGTAGCCAACATAGGCGCATTATTTTATTAGGTCTCGTAAATTACGTAAAATGCGGGCCCCCCATCCTCAAGACGCTAGATTAATTTAATATATATAATGTCTAGACTTTTATCTGTAATTAACGGAAAGCATAAAGTTAACTATCTACTAACGGGTTTTTATTTGCGTTTAAAACATTTAAAAACCTAAATAATGTTATTTTTTCTAGTTTATTGTATCTACATTCTACATGTATTATACAGAATTATAATAATTGGAGCTACTTCTACTTACCTTGTCGCTGATAGGTTGCTGACCGTTCGACGCCACCTAAAATTTTATTCTAAAATAATTTATTAAAATAAGTTCAGTACCTTTATTTATTATTACAACTATATACAAATAAATAAATACAAATGTTTACAATCAATAATTCTACACAGACAAACATTAATATACTGCTCAAAACAATTAGCGGAACAAGATTTTTCTCCTTTCCATTGCTTAAACTAAAATTAGATTTAAATTAACTTGTACGCTATTTTTTACCTTGTTAATTTGTTAATTACTACAATTAATAAAAAAATTCAATTTGTATTTTTTTTATTAAAAAAAAATTAAAATGTGCATTGTAGACGAAAAACGAAGTGACGTCTTTGAATTTTCATTACTTTCTAATCACAGAAAACACGTTTTAAGTAGTTTTTTTCAATCTTTTGAGTATTAATAGAAATTGAAGTGAGCCTTTTGAATATTGTTATTTATTGAAGCGAGTGAGTTTAGGTCATAATGCCAGATCTGACTGAATTGCATGTCTCCCGAGCTATCGCTTTGCTTGAAGTGGGTCGAACTATGCGTTATGTAGGAAATGATCTAGGAGTAGCCCCTTCTGTTATCTACAGACTTTGGAAGCGATACCGTGAGACGGGAGAATACTCACGAAGGCGTGGTCAAGGTCGAAAGAGAAAAACTA